CGCCAGGCATTCAAATCCAGCCCCGGCTCGTCAGCGAAAGTGGGTCATTCCGATGTTGCGGCCTCTTTTCATTGCTTACAATCACTTCTTGGAATTGTCCCTTGGAGACGCCCGTGAAAATGTGAGCACACACAGGAGCGGCACCTGCGGAACCGCGGTGGAATCCCTCAGCGGAGCCTTCGGCTGTGCGGGCCCAGCCCTGCCTGCAGCGGCACTTGCAGAACCCTAGTCTCCAGGCGTAGCTTCCCCTTTCACGTGGGGACCCCGTGCACGTCACACAGCCGTGTTAATGTGCACGTGTAAGTTGAGTGCTAGTGAACAGCCCCGCTGGGCACCACTGGAGGTTCTCTTCTCCCCCTGTAAAGTGGAGCAGCCGGGCCACTGGCTGGGCAAACTTCCGCCCACTGCATGCCGTCAGGTGCTTCTTCCCTGCCCAGGACTGGCCACCCCTGCTCTGCTCTGGGCGTGGCTCCTGCATGCGGCAGGGCTCTGGACACCAGACTAGCCTCACTCCCAGGAGAAGGCCCCATCAGGCAGGCCTGAAAGGTGCCCCTGGGCCTCGCACTCCCCGTGCTGCCATGGAGCCAGCAGCCGCACCTCGCAAAGGTGATGTTTCTGGGGCCCGTTCTCCTCGTGCGCTGAGCCTGGCTCTGCCTGGGCAGTGGAGAATGAGGAGAGGCTGGGGGGCGTGGCGTGGCGTGGCCTGCTGACGTTGTTTTGCAGGGGCCACGGAACGCGAGGGTGGCCGGGTCCTGTGGCCTAGTGCTGCTCTGTGCCACTCGGCCGTGTGCGGCTGTGACGACGCGTTGGGGTCCCCCATCTCCTGCACCCCTGAAATGGCACGAACAGACTCCACTAGCCAGTGGATTTGAGGGTGGTTTATTGCTCCTCCAGGATACAGCACAGCACAGATGTAATCTGGTTACAGGAACTGGGGCTAAGAGGCTTCAGTGCCCCCTTTGAGATGGGGGGATCCCAGCCCCCTCCCCGGTTCCTTCTTCCCTGCTTTCCAGCCAGGAACTAACTCCCCTCTTCCAGCCCTGCCCCCAGCCAGGGCAGCATCCACCTTCCTTTGTTCCTCTCCATGGGGGTCAGCTGGCCAAACCAGTTGGGATACCCTCTTTGCATAGTGACTCATCGCTTGTCTGCTCGGTGGTGCTACAGACAGCAGCCAGAGAGTTAGCAGTTTACCCCCCACTACGTCACAGCGGCCACGCAGGGGAAATGTCGCCTTGGAAAGGGGTAGGAAACCCGCTGCTATCGTCCACCCCGGGGACTGGGTGTGCTTGGGAACGTGTAATACAGGGGCCAGAGAGCGTGCAGCACGTCTTACATTTGTATTTGGGCTCCTGGATGGCTTCCATTTCACACCCGGGGCTGGAGCCTTACTCTGCCTGATCTAACCTCTCTCTGGTGCAGGGTGTGTGCAAAGCTAGCGACCTGCAGGTCAAGGGCCTGTGCTGAGGGGCAGTCCCATTGTGCAAAAGGTGACAAGGTGGCTTTGGTAGCGGCGGGAGTGCTGATAGCTGCAGCGGCGGATAGCACAGCCGGGCAGCAGGCCTAGAAAACACCGTCTGGGCTTGGCTGGCAGAGATTTTCCATTACCACTGAGCCGGAGGAGAGAGGCCACGTCCCTCTCCAAAGGACAGCCCCGCCGACAGGCAGGCTAGGAAAGCAGATGCAGCTGCCACTGAAAATCACAGGCTGGGTCCTCGGGGCTTCCCCGCCTGCCTCCCTGTCATTGCTCCGGGGTTCTCTCCGTTACTTTAACTGTGGCCGGAACTGGCCCCGCCGGTCGCTGCCTGCTCAGGGTGGCGTGTGCTCAAACGACAGCTAATTCATGAGCACTGGCACCTATCGATCCCTGGCCGTTCCAGCAGAACGTGGCCGGACGTATCGGCCCCAGCGTGCCGAGGGAAAGTTCTCTCGTTAGTCTAATGAACTACACAAGGGCTCTCTCCCGCAGCCCTGACCCCTTTGTTTTTCTAGATCTATATTGGATGGGGCAGAAACTGTGAACCTGTATCGATCGTCGGTTTTCTCTTGCCATTGGAAGGCCACTGGGACAGATGCCCCCCCTTCCACCAGCCCTCGGAAGTGGGATTTTTGGAGGGTCACTTGCAGAGGCTTCTGGTCGCCTCTAGCGCCGAGAGTTAAACCGGCGCAGCTCCGGCGCGCTGGCCACGCGTGCACTTAGCCCTCCGCTTCCCGAAGCCTTCCCCCCACAGACGAGCAGGGTCTGCAGGGGCGCCCGTCCATACAGGTGAACTGGGCGGTCGCCTAGGGCACCAAGTTCAGTGGGGCGCCAAATGGTGGCGCAATATCGTTGAGGGGTTTGCAGGCGGGGGGGCCGATTGCAGGGTCGCCTGGGGCGCCAGTTGCTGGCAGCTAGTCTAGGGCCGCTCCTAGGGGTCGGTTTGCCTGCTTGGGCTTCTGGCCCGTGCTGGGGGACATGCCCTGACTGGGAGCTGGGAGTAGCTGGGAGAAGTTTCCTGCCGTCCGGTGAGTTTGCTGTGGGTGTTGCGTGGCGCTCTGGGGCTGGGGAGCATGCGCGTGAAACTCACCCGGAGCCTGCACTGAACGGCTCCGCGCCTGGGTCCAGGATCTAGTGCACACCCCAGCCTGGCTCCCTGGCTCGCCCCCTGTACGGAGTCGCTGGAGCTGTCTGCTGTCCCGTGCCGGGCCGAGCTCCCCGTTGGCAGCGCGTTGGCCTTTCTGGCCCCGCACACGGCCTAGGCACGTGCACCCTTACACCCCCTGCCCGGCCTTGCTCCGTGGGCCTCGCTGCCTCGGCAGGGTGGGCGGGAAGGGTTCTAGGCTGTCTCCGGGCCCGGGGGCGGGGAGGCCAGGTGCAAATAGGTGTCTGGGCTTCGTTTGTGTTCGTTTCATGGTGGGGGGTGTTCCCCTCCCCCTTTTCTCCCTGTGTTTTCTTGGCTCTCCATTGTGAGGGCTCTGTAGGTTCCCCGGCCCCCCCCCCCCCCGCCATAATTGGATTCTCATCAAACATGCAGGAGCCATGCTGCAGAGGGGCCCTCTAGAGGTTTGAGCGCACAACTGCCGGTTCCTGTCTCCCTCGCGCGCGGCACGGCGCTCGGCTCGGCTCCCCAGGCTTTTTTTCCGGGGGGCTCGCAAGCCTTTGTTTCCGGGGAGTCGCAGCCTTCTGAAAACGGCACCGCAATTAAATATGCACAAAAACTAGCGGGGGGAAGAACGAGGACACTCGGGGTTGTGGAGCAGCATTTGGCAGCAGCTGCTTGTTGCCATAGAAACTGCCTCCCCCTTGCTTAAAATTCCAGTACAGCCAATATTCTGTGCTTACTGGTTTGCTGCGAGATGAAAAATTAATGATCTATTTGCATTTTATTGCAATTGCACCTGTAGGGCTTTTCTGTCTCTCTTGGACCTTTCTATTAATCCCTGGATGCTTCCGATTGACAGCTCGGAGCTACAACTGTTCTGCAATGATGTGTGCGCTGCGGCATTGTCTTTGCCATGTCATAACACAGAGACAAAACAACACATGCAGATTTTGGCTAATGAGCATCTAGCCCCTCCTTGTAAACACAGAGAGAGAAATCTCTCCTCTCCGCCATCCGCCCCCTCCCCTTGCAGGTTCTGCAAAGCAGCGTGTGCAGCGACTCTGCCTGATCACTTGGGTGACTTGTCAGGCCTCCGTGTGGCTGCAGGGCCGGACATCGACTTGTTGCGCCTTCCAGACGTTGTGGCACGTGGCTTTGCGGCCTGTGTGCGCTCAGGCGCGCTGTGCAGTGAGATGTGAGCTCGCGGGCTCTCTCCGCGTTAGGCTCTGTGTCAGGAGTCGTGCTGGGAGTGCAGTTCGCGGGGGACACACGAGTATCTGTCCGGGCCGGGGCCGAGTCGCTGCGCTGGGTGCTGCTGAGATGCTGTGGTTTCCTGCGCTTGGAGGGCAGCCTTTGGTCTCGCAGGGGCTCGTGATTCTCTGTGCATGTCTGGTTCTGGCTTCTCACCCCCTCGCTTGAGAACAGCCCTGTGTCCGTCATGGCCATAGACAATGCTCTTCCCCCGGCTCTGCTCGTCTTCGTAGCCACAGCTGGGCTCAGGAGATGGCATCCGATCCAAATTGCCCAGGCCTTTGCAGGGGGGGCATGTGGCGGTGCCATGCTGCTGGTGAGCAACTGCCGTGGCCCCTCCCGCCGTGGCTGCGCTGCCGTGGTGGAGTGAGAGATCCCAGCCGTTGCTCTCCGGGGAGCACAGGCTCTATGCGAGGGCAGTCGCACCAGGATACAAGGTGCTTCCCAGGGGCCGGAGCCGGCTCCAACCTCTTTCCCAAGCCATTTGCTTGCTGCTTTTCCAGGCTGCTGCTGCCTTCTTCCACACACTCTTGAGCGTTTATGAATATTCATGGGGAAGGACAAAGCTGGGGGGCAGGTTAAGAAGTGGGCCGAGGATTGCTCCTTGGCCTGCTCACCGCCCCGGGGCAGAGGCAAGGGAGGCCTTTGCCGCGTGAGAGCCGTGCTGGCTGGCCGGCGTTGTGCTGCGCGTTCCCTGCTGCCCTCTGGAGTCTCCCCCAGCGCTCGAGTACCAGCTCAAGCTCTTGATTTGTTTTCGCACACGGCTAAGTAAGTTAAGCTAATTGTTGTCTCGGCGGGATGGATTCCCTTCTAATTGTCCCCTTGCAGTGGGGCACGCCGAGACGGGCTCAGGCTGAGGCGGGAGCCGCAAGCTCACCTCTCGCCCGCCCTGCCGGCATTACCAAACCACCGACCCGCCTGGGGCGCTCCTCTCACGCCCAGCACCTCTGGTCCCTTCCCAGGCCTGGGAGGGGCTGCAGAGACGTACTCCTCTGCCCCGTTCCGGCCTTCCCCCTCCTCTCGGCAGGGGGCAGCGGCTGGGGGGTGGGCTGCGGGCCGCCGATGGCTCGCCCCTCCCGGCTTGTCCCCTGGATGCCTGGCGATGCCCCCTGGATGCCTGGCGATGCAGTGTATAACCAGACTCCCCCTCTCTCCCGCTTGTCTCCCCAGAACATCGGTTTTTTATTACTTTCTATGGGGGGTTGTACATATCGGACGTGCAGAAGGAAGATGCCTTGTCCACCTACCGGTGTATCACCAAGCACAAGTACAGCGGAGAGACGCGCCAGAGCAATGGAGCCAGGCTGTCCGTGTCAGGTAAGGCTGGGCCCCTGCCCGGAATCGGAGGGCAGGCCTGGTCTCATGCGGCCCTGCTCCCATGATCTCAGCGCGCCTCCCGGCATGGTGACAGATGCATGTGGGGGGGACAGCCCGGGAGGCTGTAATGTGACGGGGTTGACGGGGGCTGGATTTGCAGTGGTATCTCCAGGGTCAAGCCAATGATCCTTGTAGCTCAGCAGCCTCTCCTCCGCCAGTGCTCAGTGCCAGGGGCTTCGCTTTCCTCGAATGCCCCAGTGCCAGCTTGTGGCAGGCATGTTCTAGGGGCACCCGGAGCATGGCGTGCATCCCCAGCCATCACGTAATAGCCATTGATGGACCTTGCCTCCAGGAACTCCTCTCTGTAATCTGCTTCTCTTTTCGTCCTTCACCACATCCCCTGGCAGTGAGTTCCACAGGTTGACTGTGTGCTGTGTCAAGCCCCTAGGGCACTGGGCACTTGGGAAACCTCGGCCATGCTGTTCTCTCTCTCCTCCGGGCGGCGGAGCCCAGCCTTTGTGTTATCTGGTGGGCCAGGCCTGTTTGCTTTCTTGGGGGGTGGGTGGAGGTGGGGGCAGCATGGAGCGAACGAGGGGTGGGAATGGTCGAAAGGGGAAAATCTTACCCTCCCAGTCACCCCCGTGAGCAGACAAAGACTCCTCCTGACGGGAGAGGAGCCAAGCCAAGTCCTGCACTCCCCGGGCTTCTGCCCCAGGTGGCCTGTTCCTTCTGCTGCCCAGCAGAGCTCTGGCATGGCACACCCAGTGCCCAGGGAGGGGCGGGGAGGTCGGCTTGCCTCCCCTGTGACCCTGCATACAGGAGCCTGGAGTGGGGACCTGGGAGCCCTATGGGGCAGCGCTAAGAGCCAGGCACTGTGCGCAGGCTGCTGGCTGGAAGAAGCTCTTGTTTCTGCAGTAATCTATGGCTCTTGCCCGGCGACTTCCCTTTCTGGAGTCCTCCGCACGGGCGGGCCGTCGGGCTCCTGGAGGGGCTCTGGCTGCTGCAGCAAGTCGGGTCTCGACTCTTCTCCTCCACGGTCGCCAGCCCGCGCGGCTCCCACGGCAATTCCCCCCGGCAGCAGGGGCCAGGGCAGCTTCTTCCCAGGAGACACCCTGGCGGGAATTGCAGGGGTGCGAGCATGTGGGTGGGAAGGGCAGCAGCCAGGCTGAGTGCGGGAGCCCGAGATGTGGATGTGGACTGAGCTGTGCAGGTGGGGGGCAGGGGCGGAGCAGCTGGGGTGCAGAGCCGCGGGGGGGACAGGGCAATTCCCCCCGGCAGCAGGGGCCAGGGCAGCTTCTTCCCAGGAGACACCCTGGCGGGAATTGCAGGGGTGCGAGCATGTGGGTGGGAAGGGCAGCAGCCAGGCTGAGTGCGGGAGCCCGAGATGTGGATGTGGACTGAGCTGTGCAGGTGGGGGGCAGGGGCGGAGCAGCTGGGGTGCAGAGCCGCGGGGGGGACAGGGCCGGACCAAGTGGGGTGCAGAGCCAGAGGGGACAGGGCCGGACCAGGTGGGGTGCAGAACCGTGGGGGGCAGGATCGGCCCAAGTGGGGTGCAGGGAGGGCAAAACAGGAGACACTTGAGGGTCAGGGCTAAGGTGCATGGGCAGAGCTGCAGGTGAGGACCCCAGGTCTCCCTCAGGTGTTTTTACCGGGTGACAGCTGAGCCTGGCCCAGGACAAGGGGGTGCGGAAGGGACTTGGTGAGGTTGGAACTCAGCTCCTTGGGCAAGCCGCACCCGCCCCTGCCTTCCCGGTGCATCGCGCAGGCCCGTGGGAGC